CTTATCACAGCATGATATTGAACAAAGTGCCCAACAATGCATGGACAAAAAAAAATATCCAAGACTGGTTGACAGATTAAAACATACCATTTTTAAACACAATGTTTAAAACAGAGCTATTGAGTATTGTTGCTCGGTACATAATGCTTCTTAATTATATATATTTTGGTCGACAGTTTATATTTCTTTTGTTTATTCCTATTCTTAAAATAACTGCTTTTTTAGAAACAAACCACCTAAAATATACGTGATTGATGAATTGGCGGAACAACATGGGCACAAAGTTCTTCGTCTGCCTCCTTACCATTGTATATTTAACCCTATTGAGTTAATTTGGGGCATAGCAAAAGGTTACTATAACAGACATATTGGTAGAGATGGTAACAGTGAAAAAGACTGTTTGGATATGTGGAACGAGGCTCTACAAACGGTTACCCCAGACATGTGGAAAAATAGTGTTCGACATACTGAGCAAGACATTTTTAAATGATATGAAAGAGAACGAATTTTTGATCGACCAGACATCGAACCTTTAATAATCAACTTTGAGAGTGATGAAGACTCAGATTCAGACAGCGCTGAAGAAAGAAACTCCGACTAACTTTATTGTACAGAAAAAGCTTACACCAGTAGCTTACCTAATTTTAGAATGCATTTTTCTGTATGAATTCTGTAAAATAAATACCATGCATAAAATTTGGAGGACCCCATTTGGATTTTCATTCAGTACCTTTAAGCTATCAATTAAATATGGTAGTTTCATAGTGTCATCTGATCAATAATTGTCATACTTAATGATTATGCAAGTACAGATCTATAATTTTATTATACTATTATTTTTGTTCTCATTTGAGGTTAATATTGCTTATAAACCTAGATATGTAAATAATAAATTTTATTATTTTACAAAAAGTTTGGCAACAATGTAAATTTTTCAACACACCCACCTTGATGACGTGCACGCCACTTTGTTTGGCGTTGACTATATATGATAAACTGTGATATAGGGCAATTGAATTACTTGTGCAGCAAATTTTATTGTGATTATCGTGCAGATTAGTTACCCAATTTCTACGGGCTTCGTATTTGATTCATATTTTGACAATGATCAAAAGTATGTCTTGATTTTTAAGATGGAAAACTGAACTTATCTGCGTTAAATCTTCCACAAATCCTATATTTAGAAACAATTACACTAATGTTTATCACTTTATATCTGTAATTTCGAACTGAAACATGATTATTTAATATTAAATAGAGGAATAAATGTTTGCCCAGTATGGCGGGTGGTTGTCTACAATCACACTTTGCTAGTTGGGCTGGGGGGGGGGCAGAGGCTCAAAGGGGGTGAAGTAGTTTTTGGTTAAAAAGTTGTTCCGCTTGACAAATCTTTCGACGTGTCTCGGCGTTTTTTCGTCTAACCAATGGTTTTCGATAAATCCGTGGTGGGGCGTTTTCAAATTGTTGCACAAATAAAATAAATTGAGGGAATAGCCTAAGCAAATAATCATCGCAACACATTCTACGAAAACCTTTTAAGATGTTTCCAATGCGCTTGCAACCTATCTGCATCTTATTATAGATATACGCAAAAAACGGAACAGTTGGTTAGTAGGAGTTCTAGGAAATCTTCAACGTAATGTAAACTCATCAACGATGATGGGATTTTTCGCGATGATCCTTTCGCAAAAATCGCAAATCATCCATTACTCATTAACTATGCATCTTCAGGAGATGAGCATCCTACGTGAAACGTAATCGAAAAGAAATATGCAATTTTGCATACACCTTACGGCACATTTATGATGAAGCAATATCTTCAAGCCTTGCATCATCGCGTAATATACGAAAATCTTGTCGGCGCACCGACTAAAGGTAAAAATTGCTTCAAGGCCAACTGATCCTTAAACTCTTCTGGATCAGGTAAGGTAAGGTTTGAGCTCGGGTTTGAGCTTAAATTCAGACACTTAGCAACCTCAAAAAGAATTATTTTGGCTATTTCTGGATAGTCCGGGCCATATCTTCTCAACAATGGGAAAAATGCTACGATTCGGATTTTTTACGATGTAAAAACGTGTGAACGTCGAAATACAGCATATGGTTTGATATCTCATTGGAGAATACTCTAATCAATGCTAATATGCTTCTGTCACAAATGTATTTTGCAGAATCTTCGAATTCTTTACTCCAAATTAAATCGCAAAATAAATCAGCTACACCGGAAATCTGATATAGCGGAAATATTCCAATGTTAGGTAATAGGTTATTTTTTTATTAGTTTTTAGAGTAACTGATCATCTTTGGTCGACGGTGTACGAGCCCCTTCCCGCTTCAGTTGGCCCAACTATTGAAATCTTAGTTTTTTTCTTATCAAACAGAAATAATAAAAATGTAGCAGAGTGTTATAGGTTTAAAATATTAACAATGAATATTTTGATAATACGTATATATAGTAGAAAACACCAACTTTATCACTCCCTAATCAAATTTGCAGCATAAAAATAACACATGTTGCAATTAAAGCATATCAACCTATTTTCTTTTCAATGCAAAATAAGTCTATAGCGCATAGGTGGCTGTGAAAAATAAAAGCCATGACAATTGTTTTTATTAATCACAGCTGTCAGAATACGTTTAAAATAGTTTTGGGTACTTGATGTTTTCAAAATGGGTAGAGGAATGGTTATTAGTGAGAAAATTCGGTTACTGGTAATTAAATTTTTTAATTCTGGGAAATCAAATTCAGAAATTGCAACTTTGTTAGACTTATCGCGGTACAGTGTGAGAAATATTGTTAGAAGATATAACGTAACTGGTACAGTTAATATTAAGCCACGATATGTGAAAAACAGTAATATCACCGACCGAAGAGCATTAAGAAGAATAATCGTAGAAAAACAGGCGTGCCAATTATTTACAGTTAAGTGCTCTGTGGAGTGACGTTGTTGGAAGCAGAATTTCGAGGTCCACAACTCATAGAGAGGTCCACAAACTGGGATTTAGCTCTTGCAAGGGAAGTTTTCTTATAAAAAAAAGTGAAGTAAAAACCCTATAGTTGCACAACTTGTTTATAGGCCAAAGAAAAGCCACTATTAACTTCACTGCAAAAGAAAAATCGGCTTAGATGGGCTAAAGAACATAGGCAATGACACCTCAACAATGGTGTGCAATACAATGGAGTGATGAGGCCCGATTCGAAGTTTGTGTTGGTGACAGTCGCAGTAGAGTTATTCGCAAAAAAAATGTGGGCTTTCTGAAGAGAAAAGTGAAATTTCCAGCATCCATTATGGTCTGGGGCAGTATGTCATCAAAAGGAGTAGGAAAACTTCATTTTATTGATGGGAATGTGGATACAAACAAATATTTGGCAATTTTAGAAGAATCGCTTTTACCAGTGATGGAAGAATGTTTGACATCCGGCCAAGATTTTGTGTTTCAAGCAAGATGGTGCAACGTGCCATACCTCAAATAAGGCTATAAAATGGATGGAAGAAAATAATAATTTCAGCCGTAATAAAAAATAAAGGTGATGTTACCCAATGCTAATCTTTCAATATCCGCTTTGTTAACTTCGCGCATTTATTCGCACATTGTTTATTTGTTCAGATGTTCTATTAGTTATAGGTCTAAGTGATTTCAAATATGTATTTTTTACTAGAGTGTATCTAAAATGTTTTTGAGAAAATAAATTGTTTTAGAAGTAAATAGTTTCGTCATGTTTAGTTTATAACGGCATATTTTGGTACAAATCTTGAAGTGGGCCAACTGAAGTGGGAAGGGGCTCGTATTTAACCTCAAAAATTGGTGAATGTGCCATGTATGTAAGATAATTCAACTTCAACTATTTTTATCTCACGACCCTCAGGGTTCAGGAGGTCGCACCCATTGAGACATTTGTTCAGGACGGTGAGATATGCAACATATCAGAAATTCAACCAATTTAACGGAAGTCCGATTTCCATGGGGAAATTGCGTGGTTCTTTTTTTTAATGTGTTCCAAAACTGTTGAATTTTGAACCAAAACAGCGGCGATTGGATGATGCTCAGGAGTCACTAAATCACGTCAACGACGATGCAGAATTACTGCAACTTGTTATGACAAGTGACGAAATATGGTTTTACGGATATGACGTCGAAATTAAGTCTGACACGTCAAGACCAAAAAAGTCTCGATAAGTGCGTTCTAACGTGCAGGTTATGTTCACTTTCACTGTGTTCTTTGACTTTAATGGCATATGAATTTTTGCCATTAACTCAAACGGTCAATAAGGAGTCTACGCACAAGTTCAACGCCGTTTGCGTGCTGCAATCCGAAAAAGAAAAACGCCCGATGTTGTGGAAAAACAATCCAGCTTTTGCACCACGATAATGCACCTGCTCACACTTGCTTGTTCGTGACTCTTTGACCAAAAACAATACTGTAACGATGCCCCCAGCCTACATATTCGCCAGACATGGCACCGTGTGACTTTTTCCAAATTCCAAAAAAAAAAACGAACCTCAAAGGGCCATCAGTGCACAGATGACAAAACCTCATCGCTGAAAGACTTAACGCCATCCCAAAGATGGACTTCGAGGATGGAAAAGAAGCGCTGGCACAAGTGCATAGTTTTAATGGGGACTATTTTGAAGGCGGCAGCATTAATGTGGACGAATAAACATTTTTTTTTTTTTTTTTAGTAAAACGAAAATACCTATTTTCTGAACACACCTGGTATATTGGCCACCCTGAATAATAGTCTCTGAGCTAAAATACATTTTAAAAAACACGGTATCAGATCGAAAACACGGATTACGATAAAACACAATGAATTTTAGGATCGGTTTATCAATATTTGTCAATCACATTTTAAAATTGGAGCTTTTACAAAATACCGTCATAACTTGTCTTTGGAAAGCTTCAAAAGTGTATTGAAAAATAAGGATACGATATAAAATGATGTATGGCGACCAAATACAGAATATCTATTAAGAATATTACAGTAATCGTGAAAACTTACCACCAAATGCTTCACAAAACAATCGTACGGTATCTCCCACCCGAACGCTTGTATCTTGCGATATATAAGTTATTTTCGGGTCGTCTGGAACTTCGTCTGAAAAAAAATGAAAAAAAAAATGGCATTACGTTGTCAATAGTACACTTGGAACTGTTAAAACAACACAGAAGGTTGGTCTTACAAATCCATGATACCGAATAGCACAAATGTTGTTTGCGTTTGAATGCACATGATTAATAAAAGAGTTTGAAAATTATTCGAGCTACAAAAATACACTACCGTTCAAAAGTATTTGACCACTTCCATATTTCCATTTAAAATCATAACAAACAAAAAAACTATTCAGTACGTATTAATTTTTATTTATTTATTGAAAACCATCACCATGGAAATCGAGCATAACTGAAAGGTTGCTTACACTATTCCTGGGATCTCATCATTAGCCAGAATTTGATTTTCTTGGCTTTTAGAATATTTGTTATGTTTTTGTGTAGGAATCCTTTCTCAGGATTTGTTTTTTGATTATCTCTTTTAATAACTTAATAACTTCCATCAGTTTCCTTGTTTTCTGGGTGTTCAAATACTTTTGAACGGTAGTGTACCCACTTCAGTCTAATATACTAAGTGACATATAAATCCGAACACCCAGTTTAAATGGTTTTATTTTAATAAAATTTTGAATAAGTACTTAATGAAGCATAATAAGTAAATGATAAAAATTTCAAAATGATTGCACTGCTTTAAAGCCCTTTGACCTTTAATAATGTGTTGATGCACCCTGATGTGCTACGCATTCTCCAACGCGCCTAGGCATGCTTCTGATCAGGTGGTCAATGTCCTCCTGTGGTATCTCATTCCAGGCAACCACCAACTCCTCTCGAAGTGCTTCTGGAGTCTGAGGAGGACGTTGCAAATTGAGCAATCTCCTACCGATCATATCCCACACGTGCTCAATTGGGTATAAGTTGGGAGATCTTGGTGGCCATGGTAACAATGTGACATCATTATGTTGGAAGAAGTCTATTGTGACTGTTGCAACATGTGGTCGGGCATTATCTTGTTGGAAAGTTGGATCAGCCAGGGTGTCAAGATAGGGTAAAAGATGGGGTTCTAGAACTTCGTGGATATAACGCTGCGCGTTCATGTTACCTCTGATGAAGATTAAAGGTGACCTGGAACCATAAGCTATAGCACCCCAAACCATAACTCCAACAGTGTGATGAACATGTCTTTCAACAAAAAACTGTGGATTCCTCCTTTCACCACGTCGCCTTCTAACCCTGGCACGACCATCGTGCATCCCTAAACAAAATCGAGACTCGTCACTAAAGACAATACTGTTCCATTCCTGATTCCAGAGTGGTAGTGGAGAAACGGTCCCTTAAGGCCAATAATCTTAGGCGGCGATCTTCACGGTCTGTTCTTCTACGGCGGCGTCCAGTGCCCCTTGCTCTTTGCGTACAGCCTTCTCGAAGCCATGCCTGACAACACCTAACCACAGTGTCTACACTTCTTTGCACTCTAACTGCAATTGCCCGAAAAGAAAGTCCAGCTTCCCGAGGTCCCGCTATACGTCCCCTATCAAACTCACTAAGTTGACGAAATCGTACAGGTCTCCGTACTCTAGGCATCGTAACCGATCGTAAAGGATGAGCGTTAGTGAATTAAAAAAAAGGAGTATAAAAACCGCAATGTCCAACTGATAAGGCTGAACATTTTTTCACTTGTTATTTACAGTAAGATAAATACATTCACCAACTTTTATTAAAATAAAACCATTTAAACTGGGTGTTCGGATTTATATGTCACTTAGTATATATAAAGTTGAAAACAATGACCTTATGATACGGAAGTTATGTATAACCTTTCATACAAAATACTTTTAAAACACACATTAGAAATATTACTTCCAAATTATATAAAATATTGGGATACATTTTTAGATCTACCAAACATCTCTCTGTAGAGGTTTCATACTGCTCTTTGGTGACATCAACTCCATTGAAGTAATGCAAAGTAAATTTTTAATACAGGCAGCTATTAAAATGGGTCGAAGTCAGAATTCTTCAGAACTAATGAGTACGTTGAACATAGATTCCTTGAAACACCGTAGGGAAATTCTTCATTTATGTTTCCTGTTAAACATAGTTAAAGCACATGACAATTTTATTTTGTTAGGTATGAAATGTACGTACATTAGGTATCACATAAATATTTAGTTCTTCAGTTTGATAATTGTAATTGTTCACATAAACGTAATGTATTTTGTATAATGGGAAACCGTAAATAAATAAATAAATTCTACAAGTTGCGCTTCTGTTAACAACTCAAAGCCTCCATTATACTCGTAAAGCCGTTGTTAACAATATAATACGTATGCAAAATATATGTAAACTTTGATGTCACCACGGCAAATTCTCGTTTGATACCTCAAACATGGTAGTGATAAGAATCTCTTCGATCAATAAACGACTTAAAAAGACCGGTCTGAAACGACTTTGGAACGTCCTTTCAGGATTTCATGAATGGTTCGCTAGGCAAGGCTTGAATCGAAAGCCGAATCTTTTCAATTGAATATGAATGAGCCGTTTCATGCGACGATTTGTTTTACTACAAGGTTAATCGTATGGGAAACATTTAGCATACGATTAACTTTAGGTGTAACATGCTGTTACGAATCTAGAGCGATATGGATTCTATTATAGTTCTGAGAATGGCAGTGGCGTCAAGTTGCTCGACTCGTTGAGTCCCACACGTATCTAGAAAATATGATACTGTGGTTCCAAATAAGTGAAAAGGTTCTACAAATAGTTCCTACTCTATTGGCAATGAAGTTTTTTTTGTATGTTTAATGATATCTACATTAAAAAAAACCTTGTTTATAAACGAACAACACTAACTACTCGTTGTACACAACGGCGGGTTTTGTAGTGTGAGAGTTCGGAGTGTTTTCGAGGAATATTCAAACTAATTTTTTAAAAAGCAAAATACGGCCTTTTTTCCCTCCGCGCATTTCTTCCACCCTTTCTGACTTATAACACTGGACAACAAATTTTAGTTTTTTAATTGTATCTTGTGGGAAAAGTGCACTTCTTTGTTAATTTTGGGGCGCTGAATCCAAAAATGACAATGAAATAAAAAATTAGTTGCGGTTTAAAAAAAAACTTTTTATTTTTAAGGATATATTAAAAAAAGTAACAAGATTCATATACTTATAAGAATCACTATATGCGCTGTCTTTTTGCTGTTCTTTTATGGATCGTTTCTGGAGCATCTCTACCAAGAGTCCAACAGTAGTCTGCAAGCATGGAAGGATTCCACTTTCCCTGGTACCTTTTTTCCATTGTTGAAATCTCCTGATGAAAACGTTCGCCGTGCTCATCACTTACGGCTCCGCAATTGTCAGGAAAAAAGTCCAGATGTGAGTGTATCTTAAGAGACATATTACGGCCCATCTTTTGATACGGTGACAGCATATTTTTGACAAGGGTTTTATAGTTGTCAGCTTTTCTATTTCCCAAGAAATTAGTGACCACCAGACGGAAATCATTCCAAGCAGTTTTTTCAATACCTGTTAAAGTGTTTTCAAACTGTGTATCTTTCAAAATATTTCGAATGTGTGGCCCAACAAAAATACCTTCTTTAACCTTTGCCTCACTTAGTCTTGGAAATTTCTGATGCAGGTATTGAAAAGCTGACCCATCTCTATCTAATGCCTTGACAAAGTTTTTCATTAGGCCCAACTTGATATGCAGTGGTGGTAATAAAATTTTTTTCGAATCTACTAATGGCATATGCTGTACATTTTTTTGACCTGGCTCTAGGAACTGACGAACAGGCCAGTTTTGTCCGGTGTAATGAAGTGCCTTTGCCCGACTGTCCCATTCACACAAAAAATAGCAAAACTTTGTGTAGCCTAGCTGCAGCCCAAGTAAATGTTGAACTGTCTATAAACAATCTCCATTCTTCTGGGTTATAGTTTATATTTAAAGCCGCCAGTAAGCCGTTAATGTTACTGCAGAAAACCAAATTATTCTCCATATTGAAAAATGGTTCTAAGTCTTTGTGGCGTTTACGAAAAACACATACCGAAACATCGTCTTCTAACAAGTTCCACTGCTGCAGTCTTGATCCAAGTAACTCTGCCTTACATTTTGGAAGTTCTAAATCTCTTACAAGATCATTTAATTCTGACTGTGTTATTTTGTGCGGTTGGTGGTATGACGTGCTCGGTATAAAATCAGGATCTCTTGACGTTGATGGCATATCTTCTTCTTGACGAATCACTCGATCGCCATGATCTGATTCGTTTTCTGATTCGCAAGTGTAGGATTCTGGGGGTTTTGGAATAGGATTTTCGTCACTGTGAGGCACAGGTCTCATCGCAGATGGTATGTTTGGGTAGTTAATAACTGATTTTTTTTCTTGGACATACCTGTGGCTTGTCCAACACAAGGTACCATGCAAAAGTAACAATCATTAATATGATTTGTAGGCTCTCTCCAAACTATTGGGACAGCAAAGCGCATAGACCGTTTTTTGCCATTTAACCAGCTCCTCAGACTTGAAGCACATGTATTACAGCAGATGTGGGGTGCCCACTGTTTGTCTTGATCACCTAGTTTACAACCGAAATAAAGCTGATATGCCTTTGTTATTAGTGGAGTAATAGACCGTCTCTGAGACGCAAAAGTCACATCACCACACACGTAACAAAACTGATCTGGATTGTTTACACACTTTCGAGACATCTTGCATGAACGCTGTCAGCCAACTGAGGAAAAAATGGCTAATATAAAACAATATAATGTACACGTATGTATAACGTAACACAATCATGCCGATTACATCATCTTTCCTTGCCGAATATAAAAATGTAGCAGGTGCATTCTTGTGAATTACAGTATATTAACACTGTCACAGCAGGAACACATATAATTACCGTATCTCTAAAACTTGAACTAATATTGAAAAAATAAGTTTCATTCCGGTTTTAGCACATTAAAAATAGTAATATTTTGTTGATTTTATTTAGGATATTTTTTGGCTATTGATCAGTGTAATGGACAGCTCAAAGCTCGGTAAACAAAACAATC